CTGGTCTCGATTGGGCTGGGTCCACAATATGCCCACAGCGGGGGCGCTCCCCGGCTCAGGGCCCCGCGCCTCCAGGGAGGCTGCGTACCTGTGAGCTGCTCCCGGCGGCTGTGAAGCTGGCGGCTTGTGAAGGCAGCGTTTTTCCTCTCCAGAAGGGAGTCTCTGCCTCTTCCACCTCAGTTAGGATTGTCCGTTGTTGCAGGAGTTCCTCTCATCCAGTTTTCAGTTCTGTCTCAGGGGTAATTTTTCCATGAGTAGTTGTATATTGGCTGTGTCCACGGGAGGAGCTGAGTTCCGAGTCTGCCTATGCCGCCATCTTGACTCCTCTCTCTGTTTCCTCCTCTTCTTATAAGGCCATCAGTCCTATCAGATTAGAGCTCTACCTTTATGACCTCATTTAACCTTAATTATCTCCTGAAAGCCCTATCTACAAATACAGTCACAGTGGGGACTAGGGCTTCAACATATGAGTTTTAGGGGGGCACGATTCAGTCCATAGCAGTTACTAACACTTAAAAAGTCAGAAATTTTTACATGAGAGTTCAGATTTCTGACTTCCTTAAAAAAAACTGCAGGATCTGATCACTATGGACTTCTCTGAGTACATGACAATAGTGGGTTTAAGAGAGAGGTTGCAGATCTCTCTGTGGGTGTGCTTTCTCCAGTTCACCACTGTCCCTACCTTTTGATACCTGCTTGGCTACTGTAAGCAATTAATTTCGTGATCCTTGACTATAGAGCATCCTGGGAGTGCTCCGGAGTTCTGATGTGTGAAGCTATAGAATTTGGATGTATCTCCGTCATCTGTTTGAGGAAGTTGGTGTTCTTTTCTTGTAGATGAATTTCCTTGTGGCTGAGCTTCAACGAAGTGGTGAATTTTGTCCATAGGCAGTGTTTACTTATAGCCTGGGAAGTTATGAAAAGTATCTTCTGGACAGCAGTCAAGGGTCAAATAATTACTTGGACCCATGATCTACTCAATGACCCTACTTTAATTCTAAATCTTTCTTTATCCCTGGCTTTCTAACTATATTCATTTCATATTTCTCCTAATTTTCTTCTCTTATCCATATTTGGAGGCATTCATTTACGGATTTCATATGGTTTTAGACAATAATGCGTTCCTACTGAACACATAGAGCTATATATTTTTGTTTCAACAAGAGACTCAGAAATAGGAGTATACTGCTAAATTACATTGTTGTGACATAGAACATACATCATAGCATGGTAAGACACTTAGGGCCTCACTCTGAGAGTTATATCACATCTAGCCCTAGCATGTGACTCATCCATTTCCACCTTCCACATCTTTCTCTTCTTGGACGTACTGCTTTGGCGGTACCAATCAGAAACACTGGGTCCATGTACACCAGCCATCACATTTTGAAAATTCTCAAGGATTAGGTGAAGCAGTCAGTTCAGTCATGTACATAGAAAATGACAAGAATGAGGGTATTAGCGTTTTCATATAAACTTTTTTTTTTTTTTTTTTTGTGAGGAGGATCAGCCCTGAGCTAACATCCATGCTAATCCTCCTCTTTTTGCTGAGGAAGACTGGCTCTGAGCTAACATCTATTGCCAATCTTCCTCCCTTTTTTTGTCCCTCAAAGCCCCAGTAGATAGTTGTATGTCATAGTTGCACATCCTTCTAGTTGCTGTATGTGGGACACGGCCTCAGCATGGCCGGAGAAGCGGTGTGTCGGTGTGTGCCTGGGATCCGAACCCGGGCCACCAGTAGTGGAGTGCGTGCACTTATCCGCTAAGCCATGGGGCCGGCCATCATATAAACTTCTTAGCTACTCCAAAGATGATTTTTCCAGATCACAGATTAGAATAATGTTCTAAGTCTTATAGCGTGGCTCCATGTAGACACAGTGAAGAGACCATGCTTTTGTGCTTCTGATATACGTAAACCCCCTAGAACAGTGCCTGGCAGATATACTCACGCGTCACATAACAATGTTTCGGTTACAACAGACCGAATATATGATGGTGGTCCCATAAGATTTGTACCATATAGCCTAGGTGTGTAGTAGGCTATACCACCTGGGTTTGTGTTGTCACGATGAAATCGCGTTAACAACCCATTTCTCAGAACGTGTCCTTGTCATTAAGCAACGCATGACTGTAGTAAGAACTAACCATTTTATTATTTGGGGGGGCAGTATATCCAAAAGGTTAAGAGAACAGGTTTTGAAGTCAATTCAGTTTTCATTTGTACCTTGTGTCTTCTACTTCCTAGTTATACGAGTTAGGCAAATTATTAAGTTTGCATTTTCTTTTTCTGTAGAATGGGCGATAAAGAATACCAACCTCATCAGGTTATATAAATGTACAACCAGACAAAAACAATGTAAAGATCTGAGCACAATGTTTGACATCTAGCAGATATCTGATACACAAGTAGATGTATAAAATAGATGATTGTAGAATGTGAGTCCCAAATTGAAAAAAAAGATCTCGGAAAGCTTCCAAAGACGTCAGTGGTTGGATTTAAAAAAGAGTAGATTCTTGGTCAATGTATCTCTACAGTGTGAAAATAGGAATGAAAATGCCTAATGTCAGATTTAATTATATCCACATTGCTTGAGTCAATTTAATCAAGTTAAATTAAATAAAGTCCTTCAAGTACGTAGTATTTGTTTTGTGCAAAGAATTAATATGGTGTTTTAGGAACTTTGGCCTAGAGAAAAAAAGCTGTTATAAATATTTTACAATGTGTTGTTCTTATTTACACTGACAGTGAAATAAGAAAAGCCTTCTCTTGGGGATTTTTATATTCATTGCCATGAGGCAAATATTGACTAAGATGTTTTCAGTGTTCAATTTTAAGTGTGATCAGTTTTGGTAATTATTGAAATAAGTTGTCAAGACGAAGTTTAGCATTTGAAACAATTGACTAGCTTTTCATGGTGGTTGTCAATTGAAAATTGAACGAGGCAGATTTTCCAGGTCAAATGTCATTACCTGATACTGAAGGACAATTGGCCGTATTCCAGTGGATCTTGTCAGTGGCATTTTTAATACTTGCAGTGGGTTGAAGTCTGGCTGCAAATAGAAATCACTTGGAGGAGGATATTTAAAATAGGGAAGCCCACCCAGACTCCACCCTTGGAGATCTTGCTTCATCAGGCAGAGGGTCAGAAATCTGTACTTACGAAAAGCATCCCAGGTGATTCCGGTGATTTTCTGGATTTGGGAAACACTGATATTTTGGTCTAATACATCTTTATTCCAGTCCTAAAAAAAAAAAAGGCGCTTGAGATTTTTATAAATCTTTGCAAATATTCAGGTAAATATACCTTCTAGTAATGTATATGTAAACTAGACGTGAATCACTTTGAAGAAGATTTGATTATGTGGTATATTTATACAGGAGCCTTAAACACTTACAGAAGTAAAAGTTTTAAGAAGGCTCAATTTAAAAATTAAATTTTTGACATTGACATTGCCATAAATTTGATATTCATAAAATTTTTATCACTGAGGCACGCTATAGACAATTTTTATACTGGATATTATTAAAGTACAAAATGTTTATGCTTCATATTTTTATCCTTTATTTCTTAAACTAAATAGTATAGAATTAAGTTGTATGAATTGAGTTAGAAATCTTTCCCTTGGAAGCTATTGTCTTATGATACTTACAATTTAATTTTTCTGCTTTTTTAAAAAGCCAGAGTTCCTGCAGTAGCATGCTGTCAGCTCACAATATCTTTATGAAGCAATATCCTAAAATATTCCTGCAGAAGAAAAGCAGACTGCCTAAACTGTCCAAACAGGAGGGAAAAAGGTAATGACGTCTTCTTTTCAGAGCAAGGTTGATGCGTGTGCGTGTGTGTGTGTGTGTGTGCACATGTGTGCACGCACAAGTGAAAGAACGAGTGCACTGGAAACACTAAAGGTGTTTGGTCAGTTCCCAGCACTGCAAGCTGGTGAGCAGCCAAGGAAAGGGATATGTGCAGGGAAGGGTGAATTCGTTTTCCTGTTGAGCAAAAGTATCTGTGCACTGCTGAGGAGCGCATTTATTTAAATTTTCTTTCAAAGAATTATTACCTTTTACTGATGATTGGCAGCGTTTATAAAATGAATTAAAGTTTTCTATAGAGTTTCATGAGAAACTTCCCCGTGGAAATGATCAGAGTGCTTGGGGATGGAGGAGATTGGGAGGTGCGCTCTGTATAAGGAATAAGTGACAAAGCCAGAGGGCAACCGAACGGCATTTTACTGGGCTCCAGCTTCTAGATGGACATGTATTTAAATGTGTTGCATGTATTTTTAAAGTCAAAGAATGAGACGACCTCAGTGTGCAGTGGGAGCTGTGACTGCCCCCTCTGTGCACGATGAGGGTGGGTTGCTGGATCGTGTTGTGATGTTGCTCCTCTCAAACTGTTCCTGGACCTAGTGGAGCCGTAAGGTTCTTACACCAGTGCAGCATGAGATCTGAGAAGGTGTTCTCTCCCCTTAGATAGCAGTCTTGCAGCCGATCCCTGAGTGTGTTAGTGTGGATATGCACCCTCCCCCTTCCACTAACTAGAACTGGTCTGTCCACACTCTCACCCACCTTGCTGCCCCTCCGCCTGACTGCACCTTGTACAGCTTCTACGGCCCTCTCCATAAGATCGTGTTTCACTTGCATATTATTAGTCTGCGTTTGTGCTTCTGACACTCAGCAGAGGGCCTGACACATAACTGGGACTAATAAATGTGTGTTGCTCCCTGAGCAAACTATTTACTGGTTCCATAAGGGTGTTAAGAATATGTATGTTTTTATTTATTTATATAAACAATATAAAGATAAAAATTCAAGCAAAATTATCATAACAAATATGTTCTCAAGAGTTGAAGGATATCAGGGTGACGTTGACCTATTTCATTATATAAACTCTTTTTATCTATAGCTGTAGGGTAGTGTTCTGTGGAATATATCATGTTAGTTAACTGGGAAAAATCTCTGGAAGATGGAGTTGCTCTGCCTTTTCAAGAACGATTCTGTTAATTTAATACAAATCGCATGAAAAATAGAGATTCAAATATAACATTTTATAAGATCTTATCTACCATCTGGATCAAACTGTGTCCCTAGATGGTAGGCTTCCTGGAATGATCATGTAAAGCTTATACTGTGATTTAGCAAATTAATGTCACTTGGTAGAAATATCTAATAAAAAATGTACTTTTTATTCCAAGTATGCTCTATTGCTATTCTATTCTAATTGATTAGAATGAAAGCTATAAATTTAGCTGTCTGTAGAATAAGGGACCAGGAGCTTGTACAGAGAGCTGCAATGTCTAGCTTGCCCTCCTATTTCTTCATTAATTTACCAGCATTTTGTCTACATCTTAGTTAAGACATTATTTTCAGAGAACTACAGAGAGGCATACCAGCGGCTATAAACACACTTGATAATGGAATATCATCTCTAGATTTCAAAGAAAAAAAACCCCTGAGACCCTAAATTTATATTAATAGACAAATTGTGGTTTAAATTTAAAAATAATGGACCCCTGAATACACGAGGACTAAGGAAATACATATATTAGTTAAGATTTGTTGTTTTGAGTGCCAGAAAAGTCAATCAAATTAGCTTAAGAAGCAAAGGGAATTTTGAAGATCACGTTTCTGAAATATTTGAGAGTAGAGCTAGCTTGAGGCTTAAATGGTGACATTGGGACTCAGTTTCCCTCCACATCACTGCCTCATCTTTGCTGGGTTGGTTTTAGCTTCACACTCTGTCTGGTAGGCGAGACAGCACCAGATAAATTTCCTTTAAGGTTCAGGTGAGGAAAGAGGTGGTCTCTTCAAACAGCTGCAGCAGAAGACTCAATGCAATCTCTTATCGAATTATATCACTTCCCTGGATTGTCACTGTGCTCTGATTTGCCAGTCCTGAATCACATGCCCATCCATAGAATGGGGAATGTTGTTGACCCTACATGAAGCATGTGGGATACGAGCAGGAGAAGTGAAATCTCAGAAGAAAATTAGGGTGTTGTTAACAGGAAAATGGGGAGGAGACACAAACCTTCATTAAAATTTTCTTGAAGACACATCGGTCAATAAAAGGTTGAATAAAAATTAAGAAAAGTAAAGTAATACTTTGAGAAATTGGCAGTGAATTTTGAAATCATATATACAATGATTTAAATCTAAGTAACTATGGAAACGTGGTTAAGAAACAGGCTGTATATTGAAAGCAACAGTTATAGTAATAATAGCAATTTACCTGAGACAAAAGTTCCAGAATATACCTAGAAAAAACAGGAGAGGAGAGGGTGGGAAGAATGCTCCTGTGTTTACTTTTTTATAGAGGTAAATAGAGCACGCTTCAGTTCTAAAATTCATACCATAATATAGAAAAATATAGAATTCAAATTTTATTTAGAGATACAAAAAATCAGTCTTAGAACTAAAAATAAGCTGTATAACCTCAATATTACCATAGAGTAACCAAATAAAAGATACAATTTGACAAAAGGAAAAAAAACAAACAAAAGTGAAACATCAAGGATGCATTAACAAAAACAGAATGTAAAATAAATGACTGATAATCATAAAAACATGTTATGGTAATATATGTAGCAGATTCTCAAATTGGATCTGAAATAAATTCCAATTATTACATTCCACTCTAAGATGAAAAAATAAATGGCTTGGAAAGTTGAAAAGAAAAAATAGATAAAACTATGCCTGGCGGATGCAAACCACAGGGAAATAAGGATTTAGAATATTAATATCACATAAAGTAGAATTTGAGCTTAAAAAGAAAGAAATACAATCAAGAAGGTAACTTTTTTCATTCATTAAAGGTACCAGTCAAAATGAAAGATATAGCCATAAGGAACCTTAAGATTCCAGATAAGATAGAAATGATAGAAATACAATAATAATCTGGGACTTTTGATATATGGGCTCTCACTTTAGATGTTAGGTTATAAAATGACTGTAGCTTCTAGCTTGAATCCTTCTCTCATGTTTATGGTGTCTCGTGATCTCGCTTGGATCACGTGTCTTGGGGAAAGACACACGCCATGTCATGAGGCAGCCCTGTGGACAGGCCCAGGTGACAAGGCTGACTGTCATGTGAGCTAGCCTGGAAGTACAGCCCCCTTGGTCCAGCCTGTGCTGACAGCAGCTCCAGCTGGTTCCCTGTGGTAGCCTTACGAAGCTCTGAGATAATAGATGTTTATTTATCTCAGCCTCTAAATTTGGGGTAATTTGTGTTGCAGTGATAGATAATTAATACGATGAATTTACAGAAGTTATCACTTATTAAATTACAAATAAATAATATTCAAAGAGAGAGATTGTTCACAAACATTCCCTGACTACAGTGCAATAGAACAAATTAATATTGGAATTGGAATTAAAAATAGCTAATAATTTAGAAATTTAAACAATAGCCATAACCAAAAACTCAAAAACACTCTCCTAAATAATTATTAGGTCAAAGAGGGAATCAAAATTGCATTATAGTTTAATTATATTATAAATTGAGAAGACATACATTAAAGCCTATTGAATGCAGGAAAAGTTATACCTACAGGAAATTCATAACATAAGTTTTCACATCAAAACAAAAAACGTAACTGTCAGAAATCAGAAAAAATAAATAAATAAAAGACACCTAACCGAAACAAAAGGAAGAAATTCATACTGATAAGTGCTGAAATTAATGAAGTTAAAAACACAGGAGACAATTTATTTCATGGTATTATTAAAAAAACAAAATGAATAAGCCACTAGCCTTATATAATCCCTAATAAGAGAAAATACTATCAGGATTGAGAAAGATAATACGATAAATGATACAGAGAAAACTAAGAGAATTATAACTTATGATAGAATACTTTATATAACTTGAGGCTAATTTGATAATCTAGATGTTATTGACTAATTTTCTAAAATATAGGTACTACTAAATTCATTCAAGAAGATAGAAATAAAAAATTATTATTGCATAAATAGAAGAAGTTGTGAAAAGAACTCTTCAAAAGTATTTTTTTGAAGCAAAAAAAGAACAAAAGCAAAAATTAAACACCCGTAGCCCGAATGATATCACTAGAAGTTCCTCTTAAATGACCAAGAAAAGGTAATTTCTATGCAATTTAATTTTCACTGAGTATAGAAAATGAGAAGTAGGTTGAAAATTTGCAGGCATCATATTACCATGATATCAAAATTTAACAAGAATAACATAAACAAGAAATACCAATTTTAATTATGACTATATAGGCAAACACAAAATAAAATCCTAGCAAATGAAACAATGCAACAGTGTATTAGCAGATTTGTACATCATGGTTAAGTTAGCTTTATATTATGAGTATAAAGAAAGTTCAACATTAGAAAGCTATTGTTATAATTTTGTAATATTACTAGCTCGAGGAGAAACTATATGATAGTATCTATAGACAGTGAAAAAACATTTGATATAATTCAGTATTTATGTCTCAGTGTAAAAGTAAAATCATGTTTTTACCTGTAATGTGCGTAGTAAGGTGGCTGTTAAAAAATACAAAACATTTATATTTTTCAGCCAGAAAAAAACGGCTCTAAAGTAGCAATAAAAATACCTTAAACTGAATTAAAATAAAATTTCATAAAATATATT